ATTGTAGAAGTGCATTAAAAATAACTAGTCGGCCCTCTTGGGTGTTCCGCCATGTTGGATTTAGAATAGCCTCATACAGCTAACCATGCATTGTCATCCAAACTAAACGTGTACATTAAATTTCAGCTCAATCGGTTAAAGATATCTGCTTCAAAATTGAGTTGCAAGATTCCATCCGAACAAAGATAATTACATACATTGCGAGTTAATAAAAAAGCTTATAAAAATGATTGTTCATAAAGTATTATACAGACAACGAATCGTCTGTATTCATATCTCCATTCCAACATTAGCAGATGATTACCAATCATGAATCATTAAAATGGGGGTAGAGTGTAACAGTATGGTATAATAGGTTTTTACCTATGAAATTGCCGTTTTGTATGCAACAAGTGAAAGTACTTATTTTTTCAAACTTTTTTATTTCTGTTATTCGAAGTAATCACCCATGCAATCGACGCATCTTTGCCAACGCATTGGCAGTTTATTGATTTCCTTCTTGTAAAAATCAGCAAAGTCTTCAGGCATTTTTTACTGCCTCTCGGGAATTGAATTTTTTACCCACTAAAAAGTTGTATAAATTTTCTAAATTTTGGAAAAAGTAATAGTCGGTAGGTGCAAGGTCTGGTGAGTACCAAGCAACCAGCTTACCAACAGAAATAAAAACAGTTTGAAAAAATAAGTACTTTCACTTATTGCATACAAAACGGCAATTCCATAGGTAAAGACCTAATATTTTATGAAACAAATAATAGTGAGATACCGTCTGTAATAATTATTACAATACCGACTCAGCAGACTATATCTTGACAAGAGTCGGACGTCTTATTTAGTTATAATTAATAAAAATAATAGTGTTTCAAATATACAACTTTAATTTTAAGTGGCATTTCAAATTTTAAAATGGACGATATTTTGTTTAAGGATCATAATAGTTTTTATAACGTTCTATGCTTTTTGATAACGGAATATGAGAATTTTTTTGATAGGAGTGACGCGAAATTGTATTGGACTAATGTTTATCAGTTATTTGGAGTACTTCATCATGTGTATATATCGATATATGCGGCCAGCTTAGATCTGAAAGAAAGCGAGCACACGAAAATCGAAAATCTGTTTAAGTTAAGTGCTGGTTATCTGACTGGATGGAATGAGTATGATTCTTTTTAAATACCTGCCTCAAAAGCCTCTAGACCTCAAAAATAAGCAAGTCATTTCGAGGTCAATGGGGCCGATTTAATGATAAAATCCAAAGTTAAATACAAGATTTAAGTATAAACAAGTTTAAATTCACAGTGAAGCGTAGGCTATATCAAAAGACCTATTACTCTATTGTCGATTACATAGAAGACAAGGATGCTTGGGATTAATTTAGCACAGGCTTTTTCTTAAGTGGAAATGTAGTGTTGGGTGTTTTTTATATATTTTTCTCATTTTTCATGTTTTACTTCATTTTCAATTCTATTTGTTCTAAAAGATCATCGTCAACAGCCTTTAATAGTCAACTGTTGGACATAGACCTCTCCTTAGAAAGGAGGTTTTGGTCTACTATACAAAGTTGGCCAGACGGGTTGGTCTATAGTCTATACCAACCCCGTCTGGCCAACGTGGACGTGGACAGCTCGGAAGAGAAGGCAAACTTGAAACAAAATAATGGTAATTATAGCAGAAATAATATTAATACTGAATAAATGAAAAATGAACTAGGCAGGTTCATACTATGTTAGTCAGATGACTGATAAACATACTTATTTATTTTTAAATACATACATTTATAGATAAATTACACCCAGACACAAAACAAATTAATGATCGTGCTCCTCACTCAATATTTTTTCCTGAGTGGGAATCGAACCCACCGCCTTCGGCTTAACAGTCAGGGGCACTAACCATTAGACCAACAGGCTCGTCAACTCAACTCAACTCAAAATATCTTTTTTTCATAAAAAAAATGTTTGAAATCGTCTTTTATGTACACTCTAAAGTCCTAGATCAACACACACAATAGCAACAATCTCTGTTTTGTCCAATAGTAAGCAAAGTAAATTTATTAAAATTTAAAATTATACAAAATCTATGATATGCCTGTGCCGATCTACAACCAAGGGGGTTTCCAAGGGGTTGACCCTTATAAGAAGAAAGGGCAAACAAACTCATGGCAACTCTTTTGCAATTTACAGATATATACAATGATATCATTAAATATACTACAACATTGTTTTGATGTGTGCCAGTATGTCCCTTATTAAGGACTAAAAGATAAAAAGACAATAAAGAGAAAAAAAAATCGAATATAAGAGAAAATGAAGTGAAACATAAAAATTTGAAAAAAATAAATATTAAAAAACAATTAAGCTCGCGTTAAATTAATCCTAAGCATTTTTGTCTTCTATGTAATCCACAATTGAGTAATAGGCTTTCTGACATAATTTTGTCGTATTATTATATTGTAAAATAGTACTTATTATCGCATACTGATCCCAAACTAGGTAGAGCCTGTACTATGCTAACCGGACTGCTTATAAACATACTTATATATGTATATATTTGTAAATACATACATATTATAGATAAATTACACCCAGACACAGAACAAATGACCGTGCTCATCACACAAATATTTGTCCTGGGTGGGAATCAAACCCACGACCTCTGGAGTAGCAGTCAGGGTCACCACTAGACCAACAGGCTTGTCAACTTTGGTTATGTAATAACATACATAGTGCTCATTTGTATTTACACATTTTATACTAATTTTATTCATATGAAACTATTTTTGTCTGTCTATTTGTTTCTATGTCTAAACAAAATTGGTGCAAATTTGATGAAATAGTTTTCTTAAAAGTACCCTTGGGGGATATATTTCGTACAACGAATAAAAAAAGTGGTGTGGTTTTTTTCAACGAACAAAAAAGTGGTGTGGGTTCAAAAAACGTCCTCGTCGTAAGCATTCAAACGAAAATTATTTGATTTAGGGTATTAAAATCGCGTTTTTAATCTTAATAATTGAAAAATAGGAATGATAATGGGAAATCAATAGTAGAAAAGATATCCAATTAAAACTTTTAATTTCAATCTGAGTATTAGAGTACGGAGTACATAATAATAAATACAATCATTCAGATGATAGACGCATGTTAAAAACTAAGCACAATATTTATTTAAATCATTGAATCAGTTTGAAATTCAATTATACTACACGGTCAGCTGATGCGAGCGCCGCCATATTGGCCTTGGTTGTATGCGATAGATGGACCAAAAAATTTGAGGCGATAAACGTTTTACTTTAAAATTAATTCAAAACTTTTTTCTAATCGGTTGAGTAGTTCAGGTGTAGTATAGTAACAAACAAACTTATATTACTGGTAAGAATTATTGTTATTTAGCTTGAAAAGGCAACAATTTTCATGACCTGCGCATGCGCAGACAGACAAATTATCATCGTAATTGATGCACTTTGTACCAACTGATATACGTACGTAGACGGACTGACCTTTGTAAGTTGTAATTTATTAAACTAATTATCATTTTGAATTGAATATCATTGAGGAAACACCTCATGATGCATGAGCTCTGAGAGAAAAAAAGCAAAAAAACGTGAAACAAACAATCTGGACGGATGATCTTATAAAGATTGTAGACGAACGGAAATGAAATCACACGGTCGCCCCCGCCCCTCCCCAGAGTAGGGCTCGTGAGGGGGTAGTTTCTAGTGCAAATAATCTAGTACATAATAAGTTTTAAAAGAGGGGCTCATGGCTATATTTTCAAAACTTTATTAATCTTATTACATAGATATGGTGCTATAATTAGGATACATGCGATGACACATTGACCGTGTGGTGACTGATTAAGAATACGGAATGTCGCCACCCCTATTCATCCCGTGGGTGTCGTAAGAGACGACTAAGGGAACAAACTACGCAGGACAATAGCACTGCAAAGAGAAGGAATACTTGAAACAAACCTATACCAACCCGTCTGGCCAGCGTGGTATAGTAGGCCAAACCCTCCTTTCTAAGGAGAGGCCTATGCCCAACAGTGGACTGTTATAGGCTGTTGATGATGATGATGATGACGATGATACATAATTTTATACATTGCAAAGCTAACACAAATGGCTAGAAGTCAGGTCAATATATGGATAGGTGACCATTATTGACGCATTGAGAAGAAGAAATCTCCGTGCCTGTTAAGCCGTCGGTTCCAGTTGTCTTACGAACATCTGTGGCCATCATTACGGGTAGACGGAGTCAATATCGCTAGTAAAAATCGAAGTTCAGTCGTATCATAATAGACTTAAAGCCGGCCCCAAACTAGTTTGGGAAAAAAAGATTCGGAGGATACTAACTCCTGCGTTGTCACGATGGCATCCCCAGGGAGCTGGAAATGAGAAGGGATTTATCACCATCTCAACAAAAAAAGTATAGTGTTGCAGATGCCTTGTCTAAATGTTTTTAAGAGAGTGGAAGACGATTTCTTTCTTGAGTCTTTTGATTTAGTCACGTGTACATATAATTTCCTTTTTTGGGCAGAATGCTAGTGATAGTTATTATTATTATGAATAGACAATTCAATTTTATTTATTTCTAAAGTGAAAACTTAAATACTTGTTCTCAATGGTACCGGCTGTAATTTTCCGCCATCGTTCCCACGTTCCCATCACCTGGATAATGGGCGTTCCAACACTGTGTTGAATACACTTTTTGCCTCGCACAACCAATCTGTGGAATAAGTTATCGTCTGCGGTATTTCTAGACCGACACAACCTTCAAACCTTCAAGAAAAGAGCAACGCGTTTGTGACTCCTGAGTCGCAGGCGTTTATGGGTGGCGGTAGTCACTTTCCATCAGGTGACTTGTCTGCTCGTCTGCCCCCTCTTCCATTTTTTTTTTGTGAAATAAAAAAGTTGAGTTTCGGCCTATTCTTATTAATGGCAGAGCCATTTAACACGTTCTCATCTTAATTTTTCCTAATTCTTATCTGTCCTTCTTTCACAGTTGTGCCAGACATGTTTTCTAACCATGTCTTTGGCTTACGACCTTCTGGAGTGGATAGACCGTCACGAATCATACGTTGCCAAGTTGCTGAAGTACTACAGAGATCTCCTCTTCTCCGGGATCGTTGTTCCTTTGACCCTGGTGAGTATCTTCGAATGAAACTCTAACATTGATGATCGATGATCGATGAAGCGAAGGAAAAGATGTTACACTTAAAAAATATTTGGTTTGATTTGATTCGATAATATCAGCATACGTAATAACTGTAATAACTTTTAACACGATTTTATTAGCTTACGATTTATGTATTCACGAGAAACGATATCGCATTTTTACTAAAAAATGATTCTTATTTTTGAAATTGTAGAAAATCATGTTCTACAAATTCGTTTCAACTGGTTTTAATTAGGTGTTATATTAAACTGTTATTTACTTTACATTCTCAACGTTATGTCACTGTCTGTATATTTTTTTATTTGCAGTTTATATCCTCAATGTTCTGGATCCTGTACTGGATCGACCGTGAGCTCGTCTTCCCCCGAGTTTATGACCAGATCTTGCCTTGGTGGTTCAACCATTGCGTTCACACTAATATCCTGATAGTCATTGGTCTGGAGACCCTGCTTCAAGCTAGAAGATACCCTGCAAATCGGAAGGTGGAACTATGGCTGAATGGCTTCATCGGGATTGCTTATGCCATAGTGTAAATATCAGTTGTGTTTATTTATGGTATTGGTTAGTTGTATTTATTGGTAGCCGCAGAACCGACAACCGTTGGGGAAAACGAGTTCTTGAGTGGAGACCGCGTCTCGGCAAATGTAGTGTAGAACGCCCAGAAGCCAGGTGGAGTGAAGATTTGCGCAAGATGGCTGGCAGGAGGTGGATGCGAGAAGCCCAAAATCGATCGAGGCGTGCAATGGGAGAGGCCTACATGTCCTCTCCCATTGCACGCCACGAAACTAGACAGAGACAGAGCCTGTGCTGTGGTATGGTAAACATGTCTAAATACATACAGTTTAATTACACCCAAACATAGAACAAATTATTCTGCTTAACACACAATTATTTGTCGTGGGTGGGAATCGAACACTCGCCCTCCGCTTATACCTACAGACTTATCATATCATAAAATTGCAATTAGACCAAGAGCAAACTTGAAATAATTTCAATTACTCTAAGTCACTAATACCAGAAAAAATAAATAAATATAATAAGTAAAATATATAATAAATAAAAAATTACCTTTTAAAAGTACTGGTTCAAAACTGCAGTGTATTTTAATGACATATTCAACCTAATGAATAAAATGCCTTGAGACCTCATGCCTGAAATTTATTTCATTAGAGTATATACTCGTATAACAGTATTTTATCTTGATAATAGTCACAAAACTAGTAACAATGGCTTTGGTTAATGGTTTTCATTGTGCTCGGTAAATTTGTAAATAAGACAGAATTATACAACCAGAAACGAATTTTGTATAAATATTATAAGAGCCTGGTTAAAATTCTAATAACTGAAGCATGGACAGCACTTTCTAAAATATTCTATTAACTTCAATTCTCTTTATTTCAGATACTATAGCATATTTTTCATCAAAAACCGTTGGTTGTACGGCGTCTTTGGCATCATGACCTGGTGGCAAGTTTGCCTATTCCAAATCTTGATATGGGCTTCCACCTTTATCTTCTACTTCATCCAGTTCCCCATCAACAGACTGTTCCACAAGGAAGAGGTACCTAAAAGCCCAGAACAGAAGACTGTCATTCAAAATATGGAAGAGAAAACTGATGCGAAATCTATGGTGCCAGATTCTTGGAGTTTAAAATTTAGACCGAAGACGTTGATTGAGAATTCTTTCTTGTGAAACATTTTAACAGTTAAGGTTGGGGCAGTTGAATTCAAAAGGGTCGGTGAATTAAAGGGAGATGGTATGAATAAAATTGCAGCCCTGCAGTGAGTGGCACAATAGATCAATCGTTAATTAGATAGAAAAAAGTACTATTCAAATAAATTGATGTTTTCTGTACAACATCTGTGCAACACAACTATGATAAGTAATATAAATTAGGGTAGTTTTGTAGATTAAGGATAAAAATGAGTAGAAAGTCACATCTGTTTCTCTATTTGAAACGAATGTATCACTTATTCTGAAAGTGTAGAATTTATTAGAGCGTTATGCGATAAATATTTCATACCGGGATAGAGAAAATTCTGTACCTTGGAGTATACAAAATAAGCTAAAAATTGATATTACTACTGATTATCTCATGACTTCCAGAATAGGTTTCTGCATTTTCCAAACGAACAAGTACCGTGATTTAATGCGAACCAAAAATTAAGTAAATAATTTTAATATTCCAATTTCATTTATATGGATGACTTATAGTTTATTTTCCAACAATGTATGTCATCATTTTTTTCAAGTAAATGATGTATATGTATATTTTATTATATTTATATTATGACAAACATTAAAGATAAAAGGAAAAATACAAAAAAAGTTTTCAGATTTTTATTTCTATCTGTTATATATGCCTCATCTCTTATCATCATCATAATCATCTGTCATCATCTATTCCAATTTAATCTGTTATCTTTGCAAGGGCGATGTGTATCTTCAATTTTGTTCAGTATAAAATTTAGTTTAATTGAAAATAAAATAATATTATGAATGTATAAAAATATATATAAATAAAAACAAAGTTAGGAAAGGATACTAGGAACAGAATTAGTTCTTGCCTGTTTTTGATATCGACGCTAATCTAAACAAAACATAATATCACACTTTCTAATTTCACAATGATGGTTTTCAGTCAAAATTAAGACTGTCTCGTAGCTTATCTTACCAAAGCTGGTTTTTATTCTCTTAGTATAAGTCCTTTATTAATTTATGCAGTGAAGTTTTTCTCGTAGGTTTTCACTAATTTCAAGAAATCTGATGATTATCATCAACAGCCTTTACTAGTCCATTGCTGGACATAGGCCTCTATTTAGAAAAGAGGATTTGGCCTACTATACCACGCTGGCCAGTCGACTTGGTATTGGGTTCGTTTCAAGTTTTCCTTGTCTTTGCAGTGTCCTGCATAGTTTGTCCTGTCTGATGATTATAATCTAAGACTAAAAAAGTACAATTTGTTTTGCTATAAAGTGTAATCCTTGACATCAAAAGTTCACAATAGTTCAATAGTTCAAGGTTCCTTTAAAAAATACGGTACTTCTAGTAAACAAAAATGGTTTTAAAAATGCAACTAATTTTATAACTAGAATTTTTTAAGGCTATATTCAATTGCAGTACCAGAGAAGTAACTATGCACCAGATCTTTGTATGAAAAAGTTGAATATAGTTTGCACCAGATCAGTGACACAAATTTTAGTCTGGTGAGGATATGAATGTCGGTCACTGCGTGTTCATTTGATGGGTATAAATTACCGTGAAAGACATTGTTGTTTGTGAAATTATTTGTTTTAAACTCCACAACTATTTACGTTCTCTTGCTTAAGTTGCAACGAATTCTCAAAACAAGTTTATACAGAAACAACAGAATTTTATGACCCGTCTGCACGTTTGCCTCCTTTGTTATGAAAACATGGGTTAAATGTCTTTAAATTTATATTTGACTTGGTTGGTTTAGGCGATCGCCATGCCGTTTCCTACTACGCCGAGTTTTGTGGGTTCAATCCCCACATGGTACGACACTTTGTGTGATCCACAAATTGTTGTTCTGAGTCTGGGTGTTCTTTGTGTCCGTTTCATGTATGTTTGTAAAGTCCCCCGCGACTCAGGATATATTCCTAACGCGGGAGTTGTCCTAAAAAAAATTAAACATTAGTGATGAAAACAAAAATCGAGTTCATTGAAGTGAAATAAAATTAAAAAAATATTTTACACAATTTTTATTAGGAAAGTTTTCTTACATCTAATGTGTACAATAAAAAATATTGTTCGTATTTATAAAAATGTACAAATATTTTCCATGCTTTATACAATCGAGAAAAAAATCACGCAATCTCATTTGATATTTTTAGCCCAAATTATATAGACGCTGCGAGGATTTGAAAAGTTATTAAGCGATTGTTAATAATTTCATTCGGGACATATTTCGATTTCTTCTTGTTCCTTCTTGTTAGTATTCCTTCTTGTTTATACAAAATACGAGAGAAGTAGAAGTATGGTAATCATTCCTAAATAATTCATACGTAAGTTCATACTGCAAACGTCACATCGACCGCAGTATTTAATGATTGTATTTCTCAGAGAGACATCTAAATATATCAAACATAATCGAGCTACAAAGCAGACTCAATTTATTGGTGGTACACCAAGAGCCAGGTCTGATATGGGTACATCTGCAGGAATCGATGCTATTTGAGAAGCCCTTATACAATTTGGAAATTTTGACAATTTCGGTAGCAATTTACCTTTAGGAACTTTTTCTAAAATATTTCTGATTCGAGAATGTGGGTTTGAGTTTGAGACCTTCACTCACTATTCACAATCACTGTTGGATGGACGTATATTTGACTTACTGCAGTTCTACTCCTACTTTCTATCCGAGCTTTGCTATAGCCCTTAAACCCTATTCGTCCGTTCGTCCCCAATTTAACTTTTTCCTTTGTCCCGTCTGAAAACGAGTAAATATCCAAGGCAAGGTTGGTCCTCATCAGCCAGTCGGATGCAACAGTGTTAGCAACCTTACTGTTTTTACCGACGTCAAATAAAATCACAAAAAGGGTCAGAATGATGATGATAAGTCACTTTTAATGCAAATTCTGTGATATTTTTCTCGATCATAAATTGCAGGATACTTTTTTTCTCTTAAAATACAGGTAACTAAGAGTATTTCATATTTAATACATAGCGTTTATTTAATATTAAATTACAATTGGCAGTGGTTCCTCAAAGTGATGGTTGTCGAAAAAGTTATTATTAATAATTTTTACATTTATAATTTAAAAAGTAACACATTTAAATGTACTTTTTTGATACGAAAACTTGTAAGATATTATTATTTTGCCTGTTTTTTTTCAAACAAAACCCGGTCGCTCGATGCCTTTCTTCTAACATCATGCAAAATCAGTAATTCTATTTACTGATTTTGCATTTTATTTTTTTTACACACTCCTGAGAAGTTTATAGTGATTTCCATATATTAAGATTTTCAATAAACAAGTAAATTCTAAATCAGAATTGTATAAGTTAGTGAGATCCCTTCATTGACTAAGACAATGAGCTGATGATATTCACAAGTTATATGTAGCTAAGAACTATCTCAATCAGGCCAGATTTCAAACAAAAACATTGCATCATAATCGGTCCATTCGTTTAGGAGCTACGCTACGCTAGCCACAGACAGATACTCAGACGCGTCAAACTTAGAACACTCTTCTTTTTGCGTCGGAGGTTAAAAATTATTGAAGATAGAATAGAATTGAAATTATATTAATTTACACCTAGCGTATGCTTGTGACAAACAGCTAAAAAGGAAAAATAAAAAAACTTCTGAAAAAGTCTTCTCCTTGGATTTTGGTTTTTACGTCCATTTCCATTCCATGTCCATTTGTTTGATGAATTTTGTTTTATATGAATATTTTCAAACAGATAAATTATTTTACACGCGGAATAACAGATTCCTAGCTAAATTTTTAAATTTATATTTTGATACCCAAAAAATTGTAAATTACGTATATTCTTAAAAATTTCCAGATTTTCTACGTTATTCACTGGGTTTACTATCCAATTAATGTTATTATATATATATTTTTAACAATTTGTATAAATACTTTACTAACAATCAACGTTATAATTTAAAGACGTAACTGTTTCTTCTAGACACTCTTAATTACTGATGATAGTAACTTTAAGTAGATTAGAAGGAATTTCTTAATCGTTCTTATATTTGATTTCTTCCTTTCAATCTATCAGATCAATCACATTTGGCAACATTCCATTCCATCGGCATCATCGGCAAATAAACCTACAAGTTTTCATATAACTTAATCAATTTAATAAAAATCTACACCAGGCCTATAAAACAACTGTCTAGGATGCCTCTGGATGCTGTCATCTTGATAAACTAACCTCTCGGGATGTAAAAAATAAGATGAAGGCGTTTTTATAGTTACACTAGACACGCGAGGACGTTTTCTAACTTGAAAACTCGAAATATCTGATGCTGAAAACTGTGGGTCTGATTGTAAATGACTTCTGAACCTAGAAAACGAATAATCTCTATCTGATGGGATGATGAAACCAGATGGGACTCGGCTGACAGGCACACTGGGATTTAAAGCTTCATTAAAACGTACATCATAATCATTTTCTATGCTATCTGCTAAATTCTGTTTTATTGAAATATTCTCTGGGATCAAAGGTTTTCCTGTTGCTGTATAGGGGTTTGATATATCGGGCTTAGGTTTGATTTTTGTTTTACTCTCTGTTTTATATGGTATTTCTGTTGCTATAGGTATTGCTGTTGCTAGATAAGGCTTAACGTAATCGCCAGGGGATAATGTGGATTGTAATTTATCTCGAATAGCCTCATACTGATTGTTATATACTCTATAAACTTTTGAAGCCAGGTGTTTGGCTTTTGCTTCTATTGTTGTTAAAGGTTCTTCAGTTGTTGTAGGTCTTGTTGCTGTCGGTTTTCTTGTGGTTGGTTTTACTGTTGTAGTTTTTATTATTCTTGGCGTAGTTACAACAACTGTTGTTGTTGTTTCTTTTATTCTATCGTAATCTATATCATCTTCATCGTAATATTCGTATTCCTCATTTTGATCAGGTAATGCTCTTTCATAACTGATTGTGGTTGTTGGTTGTTGTGTGGTTGTTAATGCAGTAGTAGGTCTTGGCTTCGGTGTGGTAGTTGTTGTAGTAGTGGTCGTAGTAGTGGTAGTAGTGCTAGTAGTTTTGGGTTTTCGAGTAGTGGTGGTGGTAGGTTTAGGGGTGGTATTTAAAGGCGCTGAGACATCCCTCCCGGCGACAGGCTGTAAGCCGCGTGGGAGGTATGGACTTCCACCCCTAGACGGTAAAAAAGGACGCTTAAGAACTTTGACATTAGGTTTGAGATCCTTCATTTTACTTGTGACATCCTCTACTTTTGTTACTCCTCGTTCAATCTCTTTTCTAGACTCTTCATAATCGTAATATTCATATTCTGAAGGCTTTTTATTTCTTTCAACTTTTTGTCTATCATTAAAAGTGTACTTTTGGGATTTTGGCGCTGGTTCATCGTAAAATTCCTCATCATAATCTATCGGTCTTTTAGTTTTCCTCTTACTTGTATAATGAGGTCTGGTAGGTTTAAACTTGTCCTTTTCAACAGGCTCTGGTTTCGGCCTTTGCTGTATAGAACTGGTTTTACCAGATGAGGCAGGTTTACTAGAATCATCTTCTTCATAATCGTAATACTCATCATCGTCATAGAGTTTTGGAGGTGGTGGTGTTGTTGTGATAGTCACATATTCAAATTTCTCCCTTTCACTGATCGGGACTGGTCTTTTAATCTTTGGTGGCATACGAGGCTTACTAAAAAGGCCGTGCCCTGCAGGTTTTACGAGACCAGCGGGCTGTTCAGGTGCTGTTGGTAGTTCTAGCTTTTCTTCTTTTTCCTCAGCATACGTGTTTACTTTATATGGTCTTTCGTCCTTACTCCTGGATGGTCTGTCATCTTTATATCTCCTACCCTCTGAGTATCTATCCTCTCTTGGTCTAGATGGTCTTGGTCTGTCTCGGTTAACTTCATCTCTAGATTTAACCTCATCACGTGATCTGAACTCATCTCGCGAGTGTTCGTCATCCGTACCAAGATCTTTAGGTCTTCCTTCATCTCTAGATCTGATTTCGTCTCTTGGACGAATTTCGTCTCTTGGCTTTATTTCATCCCGGGGCCTAATTTCATCACGTGGACGAATTTCGTCCCGTGGGCGAATTTCGTCTCTAGGGCGAATTTCATCTCTGGGTCTAATTTCATCTCTAGGGCGAATCTCATCTCTAGGGCGAATTTCGTCTCTGGGACGAACTTCGTCTCTAGGTTTAATCTCATCCCTTGGTCTAATTTCATCCCTGGACCTCACTTCGTCACGTGGCCTAAGTTCATCACGAGGTCTGTACTCTTCCCTTGGCCTCTTTGGTCTTTCCTTCTGGTCCCTCTGGCCACCTCGAGGCCTATCTACTTCATACCTGTCTTCTTCATCATCTCTTGGTCGAGCTCTCCTCCTATATCCTGGTCTATTATCTACGTCATCATCTTCATAAGGCCTTCTTTCTGGGTATTGTGGTCTTTTAGCCGGTCTCCTGCCAGATGGTCTACGATCTTCGTAATCATCTTCTAGTTCCTCGTCTCTAGGTCTTTGACGTCGCTCGTACCTGTAAAGTTATTTAGTTTTAAATTAATATGGTTTTCATATATTCAAGCCATAAACAAAAATTTTAATCCTAAATGAGCGAGGCATTTTCAAAGAGAATTAATTTAGGGCACAATTTTTTATGCAAGGTGAAGCTGAGCAGCAGATTAAATACCTCTACTCTGCATAAGACCAGGACTAATTAGTAATGGATGGTCAAAACGACCCGAAAGGTCAAGCATCCAAAGTCATTGTGACTGACGATTTAGGAGAAGAAAATGTGATTAAAGAAGAGAACAATGTAATGCTTACCGATCGTCTTGATAATCATCAGCTGGTCGCTTCTTCCCTGGTCTACCACCAGGACGAGGTCGTGGTCTCCTTCTATAACAGTGTTAGTGACAGCAGATTAAATATCGACTCACTAAGGCATAGTTATTAGTGTACGGTCAATTCAAACTCCTACTGTTCTTAACAAATAAGATGATGAATAGAAATCGAAATAACATTCCATACATGGATGAGAGACCGGATTATCCATTTTGGAATGATGAGGCTCGTACTAGTTGCGGCTACAAGTTAACAAAAAGGTTATTTCGCCTTATTTTCTTACTCACCTATCTTCGTAGTCGTAATCATCCCTGGCGTAGTAATAGTCATCATCATCATAGTCGTATCGGTATGCTGGTCGCCTCCGAGGTGGTCTGCTCGGGCGAGGAGTTGTGGTCGTAGTCGTGGTTGTGGTCGTGGGTGGGGGTGGTGGCGGTGCTGCAGTGGTAGCTTTGTAGAGAGCTTCATTCCTGAAAATGAATAGCAATCGTAATCTATATCGTGGATCATAGGAAGAAACATTTTACAGATGTCATATTGTCCGTGTGGTGACGGATTAAGAATACGGATACACCACCCCTATTCATCCCAAGGGTGTCGTAAGAGCCGACTAAGAGAGCAAACTACGCAGGACAATAATACTGCAAAGAGAAGGAAAATTTGACTCAAACCCTATACCAACCCGTTTGGCCAGCGTGGTGTCGTAGGCCAAAACCTCCTTTCTAAGGAGAGGCCTATGTCCAGCACTGGACTGTTAAAGGCTGTTGATGATGATGTTGATGATCTTTTTCATTATTTCAGAAATTAAAATATTGGATTCAGGATTATTAATATGAGATAACTGGAGAAATTATCTGATCATCATCTGAGTACTGACTTATTATTTTTTGCGTAAGTAATTGTTATAATTCTTTCATTTTTTTTTAATTCACAAAGGCCATTTGTGGCCACTATTTGTAATTAATCATTTTTGTAATGTCCATGTTGTGATATCCTTTAATTGAGGAAACACAATACATAAAATTTTATTTGCTACAAAACTAGCACGCAAGGTGTTATTTCTTGTTAGAGATCGAAATAAAATAAAATGGAATATTCATCTTATTGGGGGCTGAGATCGTTTATTTGGTTGAACGCGCTAATCTGAAGGACTACTAGTTCGAATTAAAAAAATATTTTTGTGTAAGATAGTCCATTTATCGGGGAAGTCTATAGGCTGTGTAACATCACGCAACGAGCAACGGGAGGCGAGCATCAATAAAAATGTATTTCTTTTGGGTATCGTCATCATGATATTCTTTCCCATTGGTTTTGTAGCCTAGTAGTATTCAACTAGCTGAACATAACATGTATTTATGACATCTTCAGTCTAAAGGTCCAGCAATAGCCCAGCTCCAATAAAAAGTTGAATAATTAAAATACGAAAACCTAAGAATCAAACAAATTTGCACACACTCAGATCTATTATATTAGGATAATTTGATACAGAATATTGCAAAACATAAACTGAAGATGATAAAACCTTGATACGAGAGACGGGAAAGGATTGGCAGGATCGTGATATGTCACGGCGTTGACTTTACCATTGTTGTTATAAAGCATTTTAAGGGCAAAACATTTCAATAAGTAATCTATCCTATTAATTTTATAAACGCAAATTCAGTAAGAATAGATGTTTATAACTCAGTCACGCCAGAACACCTGAAAGGATCTGGATGAAATTTAACATAGAAATGGGATAACATGGACAAAAACAACGCCCGACAGAATTGATAAGTTGAATTATTTAATATTGAAATTGTTGAAATTGAGAAAAGGGTTAAAACTTGAGAAAAGGTTAATACTTCAATTTTATGTAAAGCTTCTGTCCGAAATACGGATAAGGCTGTGGGTAGAGTGATAGAGGAGGAGCCTGCTTACCGCTGCCGTATGCGTGACAAAGGGAAGCCTGTCTGTCTGACTGGTGCCGTAACGCGTTACGTAACGAAGCGGGTTACCCTCCCATAAGAAGTTATTACTTCAAAATATGGTTTGACAACATCGACAGGAACGCGAGGGAAATCCCCGAGAGTAAAAACACGGAGACACGCTACTATGGACTTCTACGGGAACTACGCTACTCATAAACATACTTATATGTTTATAAATACATAAATATTATAGATAAATTACACCCAGAACAAATGATCATGCTCATCACGCGCAAAATCGTGGGTGGCTTCGGATTAGCAGTCAGGGTCACTCAACACTAGACTAGACTTAAATTAAAAATACTTTACCTGTGAAAATAGTTGTGTGAGTTCTTGCAATCCACTTCGGACACGAATTGGCAGATGAAAGTCTTCTGGTCAAAAGCTGTGTAATTGGCGCAGAGGAAGTCGTACCGGGTACCGAACAGGCAGTGGTGGTATAACTACAAATATGGGAAGTACAAATACTTGTCAGATTAATCTTACTGGTATGATAAATGCGAAAGTTTGGATGGATGGTTGTTACGGCAGAACGGATTTTAATGAAATTTGGAAAACTTCACTTAAATTGTCTTTTTTTTTAAAGACTATCAGTAAACTGTAGACTTGACTGCATTGTTAGAGTGGTGGTTAATTCTCATATGAGACAAAACATTGCGTGATAAAAAGATATTCTGAGTAGCTTCATTATCTAATATATGATATTTATTTCTCTGTAAGTAAATCTTTTTCAAATATTTTTACAAGTCGGACTTTACAGAAAGATTGAGCCAGCATTTCCTAAGACTCACTCTGGAAAGAAGCGAGGAAACAAACCACAGAGGTGTCTTTTTTTTAGTTCGTAAACAAAGTTAAAGAAAACTGTGCGAGTACACTGCAGGGCCTGGGTAGGCCTTTTGAAGAAAGGACTATAGTTTTGAGTCGGCCTGTACATACAGACGGCATATGAGCTTCAGCCAGCGTGTAGCTTAACACACAATTAACTTTGGTTTGATTTACATATTTTCTGCAAGACTTCAGTTTTTTAAATAATGTATGATGCGGATGGAGGCCTGTATACACTTAATAAGATAAGTTTCTCTAACTCTACACATGCTATTTGTATTGTCCGTGTCGTAAATATATTTGTCTGCTTAAAATTAAACGCACATAATTTATTGTATTAATATAGCAAACTCTGCCTATTTAAATTTCCTCTATTTCCAATTAAAACTATCAAATTTGTATCCTGGCCTAACTTGAAACTTGTTAATATTTGCCAATAATCTAAACCAGGGTATGCCTGAAATTAGTAATTAATAAATCACTGCACGTATTTACCAGCAACTGACCCATACCCTTCCCAATCTCATCACTGAATATTCCAATTTTATTTTAACAGTTTCTGAGTTGTTCTGTGTTATAAGGGATATTTTATTATTAGTTAGTTAGTTTTTAAAATCCCTTGGCTGGATCTAGGGTCAACATTATTGGTTATGACCCCTCACGATTGTATTTGGTTCAAATGATTTCAAATAGGGAATCATATTGGAGGTCATCACGAGTCCTGTCTTTACAAAAAGTTTTCACTGAATTTAAAGCTAGATTTGCACCTGTGAGGGGTCATAGGAATTATTTCTATCGTGAAAGATATATTAAAATACCTAATACTAAAACTTTTTTGTATTATAGATCTTTAAGAATATTATCTTGTTTACAGAAGCATTATGTCACGATGAAGGCCGTATAACAATTTTACAATTACTAATTACATAACAGCACCTGAGAACAAATCGGTTCCACGCACTTCAAACTTTTGTTACTAGATGGCGTTGTGTGTATTAAGCTTAGATGGCGTCATTAAAATTTTCTGTTACCATATGGACAAAAGAATTACACCAATCGCTTAGTTGATGACCACCTTACCTGACACTTATGCAGTACAGATGCGTAGAACCCATCGTGAAGCCCATCACACTTGAAGTCAATTGTCTCTGGCTTTGGGACTGTCGCATAGAACGGATATTCCGACAGATTGTACCCATTTAGTTCTCTGGGCAGATTGGGGTCGTAAATGTAGTCATGTTGAGGAAGCCCAGTGAACTTCCTTGTGTCATTTGAGGGAGGCGCTTCTCCCTCTTCTGCTGTTACTTCCGTCTGTGAATTGAAAATTAAAAGTATAGTAAATTATCTCGAAGGCAATGAAGTTTATTTGCAATCTAAAATATTGTTTAATTTTGATATATTTTAAATTGTAATATATTACTTTTGTATATAAAACGTACGTATGAAACGGACGAGGTAGAGGTTGTCCATACTTATTTTACTAACTAATATTATAAATGCAAAAGTGTGTCTGTTTGTCTGTTACCTCTTCACGCTTAAACCGCTGAACCGATTTAGATAAAATTTGGTATAGAGATAGTTTAAGTCCCGGGCAAGGATATAGAATAGTTTTTGTTCAGGAAATCATCTTTTAAGGGGGTGAAAAGGGGGGTGGAAGTTTGTATGGGGAATCTTTAACCGCTGAACCGATTTACATGAAATTTGTTATGGATATAGTTTAAAAGTCACAAGAGCGTTGCCACCCTTACTACCCAGAAATAAGGAGAACGGGAGGAGGGATTTGGGCCTCGGTAACTCCCCCACTCATTAAATAGCAATGAAAGAATTATTTAACACCGGTTTTCTGTATAACCCGGGCATTACCCAATCCGGTACATCATCATCATCAACAGCCTTTAATAGTCCACTGCTGGATATAGGCCTCTCCTAAGTAAGGAGATTTTGGCCTACTATACCACGCTGGTCAGACGGGTTGGCATAGGTTTTGTTTTAAGTTTTCCTTCTTTTTGCAGTGCTGTTGTCCTGCAAAGCAGTATGAATAGAGGTGGTGACACTCTGTATTCTAAATCCGTCACCACACGGATCACCACACCATTTGTGCCCAATCATGTCTCTCCCACGGTATGATTACCACACTATACAAAAAAAACACACATTTTTTATCGATCAAATCAATTACTAAATTACAAATAACCATTATAGGCTTCCTGTATTTAAGTCTAAAGGATAAATAGATATCACATGACATACAGACATAATTCTCAGCAATTATTAACTCTTAAGCCGGATACGAATAAACATTAGGTGGCGTGAAGGTACTTCCAAGGTGGTCGACTTTTACTGCGCAAGCGCCTGAGATATGCCTTTGTCTTGTATTTGGTATAATTTATTGAATATACACATGAATGTACGAGAAAGAGTGACCTTTAAAGTAGGAAGTGATCGTTATCACATGCCTTTAATGTCCACTGCTGGACAGAGGCCTATGTCCAGCAGTGGACTATTAAAGGCTGTTGATGATGATGATAGGCAAAACTCTCCTTAGTAAGGAGGTTTTGCCCTACTATTTATTTACTAGGCCAAAACCTCGGAACGTCACCACCCCTGTTCGTAAGAGCCAACTAAGGGAGCAAACTTCGCAGAAGAACAGCATTGCAAAGACTAGGAAAACTTGAAACAAACTATATACTAACCCGTCTGGACAGCGAGGTATAGTAGGCCAAAACCTCTTTTCTAAGGAGAGGCCTTTATCCAGCAGTAGAATAGTTAAGGCTGTTGATGATGAGTAAATTTTCAATCTCGTCCAGGGTATTTTTTTAATTCAAATGCCAATTCCAGGTTATTGGGTAGGCAGGATCTCTTGCCAAGATCACATTATTATTGTACTATCATATCTTAGATCGATCAATAATGAAAACGGTGCCGTCTATTTTGTTTCTCTCCCCAGAATCTGAGCGAGGGCTCCTAAGCTCTGGTAACCTCACTTATTCGGCAAAAGCAATAAAAAAAATGGTTTTCTGACGCTGTGGAATCACTTCAGTCATGATAAAATCGGCCGAAGTATTACTCTCCCAGAGACCGCACGGACTTTAACGGATGTATATAAATTTGTATATTACCTTTTCTTCGTCTTCGGGGGCGCTTGTTTCCTCAACTGGAGCTTGGGTCGTGGTGGTTGAAGTTTTGGCAAAGATTAGTGATGTGGCCTTTACTGCTGATGTGGTTGGGATCTCGAGGGACAAGAGAATAATTGTTATACCTGAAAAGATAATTGGTTCTGTTAAAAATATTGTTGTTTATGTCATAAGGAGTAAAACCTCCTTACTAAGGAGAGGCCTATGTCAAGCAGTGGACTGTTGGAGGCTGCTGATTATGATGGCATAAGGAGTAAACGAGCAGATGGATAACCTGATTTCAAGTGACTACCACCGCCCATGGACATGACACAATTCAAGTACATTGTGTTCCCGTTCTTTGAGTGATCTCTCCCCCCCTAACCTACTTGGGAGGGACTCTATATAAATGCTTGGCAAACTGATGGTATTGAGACTCTTTTTTTTTTTATTAATTACTCAATGGGGAACTACGCTTACCCCGTCTTAGTTACCTCTCCATCAGAGGGGTTGAAAAGGGGGATGGAAGTTTGTATCTGAAATCAATAACCGTTGCACTGATTTAGATGAAATTTGGTATGGAGAAAGTTTGATTCTTGAGTAAGGACATTGGGCTACAAGGGCTACTTCATACCGCCATTACTGACATACACGCGGGCGGAGCTGCAGGCATAAGCTTATGTCTTTATATGTATGTATTTAATCTATACAAATAAATAAAATTGGAGTGTCTGTTTGTAATATTAAAATAACCGCTTTTTATTAAATGCATATGTATGTTTACACTGTACATATGCCAAAATAACATTTTTTACAATTTTTGTCTGTCTGTCTGTCTGTCTAATTGTTCCGGGTAATCTCTGGAACGGCTGGACCGATTTCGACGGGACTTTCACTGGCAGACAGCTGATGACATAAGGAGTAACTTAGGCTACTTTTTTTAGACTAGCTTCGCCCCGCGGCGTTGCCCGCGGTTATAACAACAAACGCGGGTAACACCGCGGGTCTCATAGTAAATAAGTATAATCAACAATCTGGTTACTACAGTACAGGGTCTGCCTAGTTTGGGATCAGACGGCTGTGTGTGAGGTGTTTCTAATCATTATTACTGAATTAGTTGTGTTGAGCAAAATACACCACGTTAAGTAGTACTTAACCAATGGTGGCTAATATGTGTTTAGTTACACAAATAATCTTTTTACGACATACTTTTGAAGTTGTGTGGTATATTTGATTGAAGATGAGACGTAAAAACGCAATTCTGAGAAATTTCTTTAGGATAATTCATACAAAAATAGTTTCATATTTGAGTGTTGCAAGGATTATTAAACGATATGTAAAATTTTTGTGCAATATGTCTCGATTTAGAAGATATCTATACAAATAAATAGAATTGGAGTGTCTGTTTGTAATATTAAAATAACCGCTTCTTATTAAATGCATATGTATGTTTACACGGTACATATGCCAAAATAACATTTTTTACAATTTTTGTCTGTCTGTCTGTCTGTTTGTTTGTTGGACCGATTTCAACGGGACTTTCACTGGCAGATAGCTGATGACATAAGGAGTAACTTAGGCTACCCCGCGACGTTGCCCGCGGTCATAACAACAAACGCGGGTAACACCGCGGGTCTCAGCAAGTTTGAAAGTATAATGCCAATAAATAATAACACCTAACGTTTATTTAATAAAATTTGATGCGTTGACGGACTAGGTAATAATTTTATTTTGGTCATCGATACCAATCCACCCTATTGCTCGTGCAATTAGGGTAGATTACCTTCTTCCGACCCTTTTTTCCAAAACTATGTTAGGGTTGGCTTTAAGTCTACTAAGATACGGCTGAACCTCGATTTCTTACGGTGACCGACTGCCATCAGACCTTTACACCCCAAGTAAATAAAGTAAAGTAAAGTAAATAATATACGAGTATCTCACACATATCACACACAACCGTCTGATCCCAAACTAGGCAGAGCCTGTATTATGGTAACCAGACTGCTGATAAACATACTTATATATTTAAAATACATACATATTATAGATAAATTATACCCAGACACAGGACAAATGACCGTGCTCATCACACAATATTTGTCCTGGGTGGAAATCGTACCCACGACCTTCGGTTTAGCAATCAGGGTCACCAACCACTAGACCAACAGGCCCAGAAAGAAAAGTAAAAGAAAGAAAGTATACAGAAATACTGTTTTCTTTTTATAGGGACTAACCCCACCCACACGCCCACCGCTGTAACTCCTGTACACCAGGATCCACAGCAGTGACCCAGGAACACACCGAGTTATGGAACCCGAAAGAAATACTGTTGTCGGACTTTTTACAGCACCAACTACCCGATGCGATGGTCACAGATGTTCTTATGGCAACCGGGACCATCAGCTTAACGTGCTATCCAAAGCACGGAGGGGTCTCAATGTGTTTTGAACGGTCAGCCAACCAAATACTGACCTGGCTAGGATTACTTAACTTGGCATTGTGTTAACCAACTCGGGTATCACTTAGCCACGAGCCCCGAGCTTTAGGGTAGATTGGGGAATAAAATGAATATTCCTTTTTCACCATTCATCATCATCATCAGCCTATAACAGTCCACTGCTGGACATGGGCCTCCTTTCTAAGGAGAGGCCCATGGAAAAATCCTCTCACGAAAAGTTTTAACGACACTTTTTATTTTGAATTGTCACTTGTAAGTCATTCAGCGCCATCTATCGAATAGATAGGAAATCATTACTTTTCATCTCAGTAAAATTAAAATTTATGTTCTTAGGTTGAGCAAAAAATATTGTATTGGACATCATTTCTCAAGGAGATTTTACCAATGTATAAATTGTTTTAATTAGAAACCAACTGAAAAATATGTAGGTAATAGCCGCTTTGTATTTGCCGCAATAGATGGCGTTGTAATTAAAATCGTGTCGAATCAGTTTTACTCGATCGTCACAACTTCGTTCCTATCGGGTGTCACACGACTTCACACGGCTTTTCTTTCTCAGATATTTGGCTGGTTCTATCGCATCTTTTTTTTCTTTTTTTTTTGACGGGGTGGAAAATCCCTTCGGATCTCCTGCTCCTCGGGGCTAGGAGCTAGGAGTATGTGGTGATTCCACTAAAAACCACCCCGACGGCCGGCCTCAGATGCCCTACTCTGAGAGGACCTGGACCATGTTATTTCAGGTCCTGGTTCTCCCACGGGGGAGGGTCGTCTACTCGTCTGTAGAAGACCCGAGGTATGTCGGGGCACCAGGGACTGCCTTTCTAGGGTATACCTGGTTCCCCGGCTATTAGTACCCGAGACGGCGTGCGGTTTTAGTTGGTTCGAGTCCGACATGCCACCGACAGGTGGTATCCGAGAGGATTTCCGCACGGAAAAAAAAAGGTCCTGGTTCTACCGTATCAAGGAAACACAGCATGTAGTGTGTGCATTATATCAGTGTCGGTGTGGTGTCATCTAACTGCATGAATGATCTTACATTTCTACATGTGTTTAATATGGCGGCTTTCTGTAAACAAATTCTGGTAAACCTAATTTTTTTAAGCTGTGGAGAAGATGGTTGGGAATGATACCAGTCTTGGAAAGGACTATGTACACGTTATGTTGTTTTCATATTCTGAGCACTTCTTCCTTCTGGTCAACATTATGATGACTTATTTTTTCGGAAAATGTTTTTGGTAAATTATGTGTGTTCGGGACTGAAATATCTTTAAGGTATGAGATCTTTCTAATCTTGTCTTGTAGGATTATGTTTGTTCTATTAAAATGTATCGTTTTACCTGTAAGTAAAATTTGGCATGATGGTATTTGAAGACAGTACCACAGGTCATTGTGTTACCCTCTAGTGCCTTTAGGACGGCCATGCCTTTGGACAGTATTTGGATGTTATAGTTCGAGTTTAAACTGAAAGACTAAAGGAAAAGTTTTATGTTTAAAAAACATGCAATACTAGAACATTTGCCTAACAATTGAATAAATGAATATTTTAAAACGTTATTTATTACTCATATATAGTACTTTCTACAGGTTTTATTTATTGCAAGCTTGTAGAACAATAAGTATTATTTATACAAATAAAATAAAGTTGAAGAATCCTGTACGACGTACGTAGCTGAAATGCGAATGTTAAGAATTCTGATGTGATTAGGATGAACAAGGTGAGGAATGAATACATTAGAAGCTAGTGGATGAAGAGTTGAGAAGCAAAAGGTTATCCTGGTATGGATAATTCAGCAACCGTCTCTTTTGTTGACAAATAATATAACATAATGCTTTTATTTAACACAGCTTCTCTAAACCGTGAAACTTGGTGTGTGTGATGTCCCTCCAACACAAAGGGAGGATATAATAATAATACCAAACCACATTCACACGCCATCTAGTCCCAAACTAACTTTTTTTTTGTAAATACATACTTATTATACATAGAAACACCCAGACCAAATCAAACATTAAATGTTCATGCACACAAAATCTTTGACTTGAGCGGGATCGAACCCGTGAAATAGCGTTCGTTATACAAACCACTACGCCATTCGATCGTCATTGGTTCCTCCTCCGGCGATCGGATTCTTCGACAAGGCTATCATGCCTGTCGAACCGCCAACGGTTGATGTTGGGAAGTTGTGTATATGCTAATCGGCGAGAGAATTCTTCATATCGCGATATAGGATTAGCAATTCTCATTCAGTAGTTACTCCGTAGTTCGGAGTTTCTTTTTCATTTTTGCCGTATGTGGAAGTCGCCACGGTTCTTTTATTGTTTACTTAGTTATATGCAATTTTATAACATGGCTGGTTTTCATTACAGACAATAGTTTGATTTTTTATCAAGTTACTAGGTATTTTCAATAATCGTTTTTAAAGCAGACAAAATAACATGTGGTGATGAGTAGAGTTGAGCAAAATGGAGTGGAGAGTTTTATGTACGATAGTAGACGGATATAAGAGTAGAGGACGATCAACAAAAGACTGAACTGGACTGCTTGAAAGATAATATTATGTCTAGAAATGGAGTAAGCAGTGAACTGACGACTGATAGAGAAGAATGGAAGAAGAAATCTGATCACAGCGACCCCAAAGATATTTGCGAAATGGGGAAATACAGATGTAATAAAATTTAAGTGTTTCC